CACAAACTCCCTCACCACGGAAATAGTGCCAATCTCCTCATGACTTCCGCCTACTAAACCCCCCACAAAGACATATCCCAATGCCCCGGCCCTCAAAGCCTTTCTAACCTGCAACACAGATAGATATGGGGAAGAACTAGTAGCAGAATCATCAGCATCAAGCACAATCCTTTTACCGCAGCAGTCTATCATAGCACAGTTCTTTGACAACCAGTCCATACCCAAGATAACTTGAAGGCTGATCATAGGTAAACAAATAAAATCCAGCATGTAATCTCGGCCTTCATATTTGAACTCAACATCTTTACACAACACGGATGTATAACACTCCTCTCCAGTAGCAGTAACCACTTTCATTGGAGGGCGAATGTCATACATTTGCAAATTTAGCCCAACGGCCATAAAATCAGACATACAGGAGTGTGTAGCTCCTGAATCAAACAACACTTCAACATCCATATTATCAATGTAAATTGTACCTTTCACTAGATTCGGAGCCTTCTCCGATTGCTGACGGTCCATGGTATATACTCTACCAACCGTCTGAGACTCTAGCATAGGTTGAACAACAGAGACCGGAACAGCAGTAGCTTGAACTGCCATAGTCCTTGCTTCATTCTGAGGACACTGCCTGGAGTAGTGACCGGATCTTCCACATTTAAAGCAAATCACCTCACCAGTAGCACATGGACCTCTATGCTCTTTGCCACATCCCTTGCACTTGGGAGGAGGTCCTCTATCAACAAACTTCTTCTGAGTACCGGGTTTTTTGAACAAGTCGAAGGGCTTATTCGCATTCAGCTTCTTGCCTTGCACCTTCCTGTTCTTCCAATAACCTGAGCCCGTTGCTTTATGAGAACTAGGTGCCTGAGCCTCAGAAGACTTCTTGGTTTGGGACACCTTATACACTTCTTCCACCTTTCTACACTGGTTTACAAACCGACTGAACTCTCGGATGTCACAATTTGACATCTTCCGAGACATCTTCTCATTAAGACCCCATTGGAACTTGGAGGTCATTTCAGCCGGGGTGGGTAAGGCTCGCCCATAGTTGGCGTATTTCACCAACTCATTGAATTTTGAGAAGTATTGGTCAATAGACATTGACCCTTGTTTGAGATCGTTATACTCATTCTGCTTTTGTTCCCTAGCCTCTCTAGGGAAGTAGTTATCCAAGAACAATGTCTCGAATAACCGCCATGTGATCTCCCGACCTTCAGCTTCTAATGGCTGCACGGTATTTGTCCACCAATCTTCTGCTTCCTCTTCCAGCATATAAACAAAGTAAGCCAACTTCATTGCGTCAGGGCACCTCATCACCCTGAATATCTTCTCCATAGCTTGGAGCCATTTTGCAGCCGCCATTGGCTCATAACCTCCCTTAAAAGAAGGAGGTTTATGTTTTCGGAAAGCCATCAATCTCCTTTCCTCCATTTCATGATCGCCGACATTTTCAACTTGAGGTTGACGAACCTCGGTGTGATGACTCAGACTCCCAGAGTGGTGACTACCTTCACCCTCATTGTTACCCACTCCACCCTCTTCCTGTGACGGAGGTGGAGAAGGCGTAGCAGTGTGAGGAGGAGGAGTGGGTTGCCGGTTCACGGGCCTAGGACCCCTCAACGTCCTCAGCTCGGTCATCATCGCGGCCATAGCAGTCCGCGAGTCTTCATTTGTCTTTAACAAATTTTCATTGGCTTGCCTGCTAGCAGCCAACTCTCTCTGAACGGCTGCAAGAGCTTCAGCCACGGGATCAGGCGGTACGCCCGTTGCCCCACGGCCACTTCTAGGCCTCACAAGAGCAGCCAAAACAGGTTCTGGCTGAGCATTGGTGTTTGATGGTCCGGGGTTGTTTCGGTTCCTCGTCATGTCACTACACATGTTACACAAAGAAGTGAGTTGATCAGGCCCACACTTAGTGATCACAAATGCAATAATCATCAAGAGTACTAAAACAACTATAAAGCATCAAACACTAAGCATACTCAACAATAGCTAACAGTTATTCCCGACGAAACTGCTCTGATACCATAAAATGTAACACCCCGTTCTAGAACCGGTTTGTTAACATCGCATTATGATATTAAGCGCAGTTACAATCACATGGGTTCAATTAAAATTCGGATAAATTTTTCATTTTAAAACATACTGAATTTGTAATACCCAATTCCGTGATCATAACCGTATTACCTTGCGGAATCATATCAATTAAGCTTAACATCATGTTCTTGTTCCATTTTTAAACCATTAATTTACTTCTTATTTAGTTCACATCTTCTACTATATTGTAGGTTTCTTCATTAGCTACCTGTGGCTTCAAACCGTGCTCAAATCGGAGCACTGTAGCCCAAGTTAGGACCCTTTGAAGCAACACAAGAGAGTGTTGGTCACAGGCCCAGCGCGCTTCAGCGCGCTACCGGGCGCTCAAGCGCGCGCTATCGGGCGCTAAAGCCTCCATCTGGGCGCTTAAGCGCACGGAGGCAGTAAGCATCAGCATTTCCAGTGTGGATGGGCGCTTAAGCGCGCAACAGGGCGCTCAGGCGCGCTAGCCTGGGCGCTCAAGCTCCCACTGGGACGTTTTAGCGCGCAGAGACAGAAGCATTTCCTCCTTCAGTGGCGAAGGGCGCTTAAGCGCGGACCAGGGCGCTCAAGCGCGCAACCCTGGGCGCTTAAGCCCCACCCTGGGCGCTAAAACACGAGGGGGCAGTAAGCCACCCAACTTTCTGCAGCAAAGGGCGCTTAAGCGCGAGCCAGGGCGCTCCAGCGCGCAATCCTGGGCGCTTAAGCCCCCACTTGGGCGCTCCAGCGCGAGGAGGCAGAATGCATTGGCACTCGCAGGGGCAGCAGGGCGCTTGGGCGCGCTCCTGGGCGCTTAAGCGCGCTGCCAGGGAATTCCAATTCCCACATTTCTCAAGTCCAAGCCTAGGGGAAAATGCATCCCCATTACAAACCCCAAATGTCCATGCCCCAAAACTAAATCCTAGCACTCATCCAACCTCTCCTCATGAGATTTAGCTAGAATTTGGACAGCATGACCTTTGTTTTCTCATCGTTTACCAGTTTAACGAAGAGGGTACCTAATTGATTTTCAGCCCGACCAATTCAACAACTCAATACATAACAAGCATGCATATATTGAATTCCAAGTAGGCATCATTTACATTACATATCCTTTACAAATCATAGAACTTAGCTTACAAAACACTATGATCATTCCCTTGGCTCCCATCAACAAAAGGTGTAACCAAAGGCATGAGCATAGGCTAAGTTCATTCAATGAATCAAGGCATACAAATGACCAAGGGCTTTCAAAATAAACTCCTATACATGTCAACTACAAAAGGCATGCATAAACTCAAAAGGAATGCCACATCTCATGCATAATCCAGATATGGTCACTTGCCACCAGAGGCTCCTGCAGCATCCTTACCTGAAAGGGGGTCCCCACAACACGGGGTGAGATATACGAATATATCCAGTAAACCAGGGGTCCTTGGAGCATCTCTCCACCCCACAGTTCCATATCAGTGTAATAGCAATAACAATAATAATGCAGTAAATACATATCTATGCAAAGTGCAATACATCTCCAGGAGAAATCCCTCGAGCTCTCAAGCTGTCCTAAGGAAACTCAGATGCAAATAGTCCTACTGGCCAGCTAACTACCAAGTATGATTTACGCATCGTCATGCCACATACCAACATAGGGAAACACCATCCTATGCCACACCAAATGCATACACATACGTATAACAAAGCATTACACTATTTTATTGCATTTATATACACTATAATCACCACTACCCTTTCAGGGCTTGGTGGAACAATCAAGGGAATTACACCCAAGGTCCGAAGGCTTACCTCAATGCTTCAGTCAACCTTTGTTCTTCACCAACAGTTTCAGCAATCAACTTTTACAAACATACACCTACACATGGTGTAATGCAATCAACACATATTGCATCCAATAACATCTCATAGCTATCAACCAAGCTATACAATTCATGCCAAACATAAGCATGAACTCACCTATCCAATGGAGCTAATCAAGCTCCATAGCTTGCTCCAATGGTTGATCACTCACGGTTGGTCCAAATGTCTCAATCCTAGACATCACAAGGACACAATCAATCATTCATCTCACTAATTGTTCAACATGCTAGAATACCAACCAATCCAAGTATGAATTTTCCAATGTTATGAACAATTACCAAATGACTATCTAGGCTCATTTCCACCGATTAAATGACATTCCTAGCATTTTCCATAACATGCTCTAAGTTCCATTCTTCCTAGAACATAGCTAATTCAACTACATTTCATAAAAATCCCAATTTACTATTCACAAACCCTAACTCATGCAAATTTCAAGGAATCATGAGGTTCAAGGGTTAGAATCTTACCACCAATGGTCACACAACCAAGGATTGATGGCTCCTCAAGCTTCAATGGAGGTAGAAACTCTCAAAACCCCAAATTTCTCCAAAGGGCCGAATTTTTGAGAGCCAATATCCCACCACACAAAGCTCCCCACTTAAAACTAAGCTTGGATTATGAAAGAGGGCGAGATTCTAAGCGATTTAGGCTTTTGAATCATCCAAAACCATCAAGGTTTCCTCCTTCCTCTCTCTCTTCTTCTCTCTCCCTTCTTCTCCTTTCTCCTTCTTTGCCTCTGTTCCTCGACGGGTTTCTGGGGGGGGGGAGATGGGTTCTTTTTGCATTTTATCACTTAACATAAGTTAAGTGGTAACATGTGGGTATTAGTTCGTCTATTTATTTAACTCCAATAATTACCAAACTTTACCCAAAAGTCTGGAATATTATTCTAGGAATATTACTATTTTTATTTTTATATTTTGGGTACTTTTGCCAGTACCCATTTATACCCCTTAATTTTCACTGAGTACACTTTTTAACTCCAAAGTGACTCAGATTCATTTTATTAAGCCTCATACTTAATTTCACCCAGTAAAACATGTTTAATTAATTAATATGGGCTATTATACAAGCTCATCAAGCTTGGAATATCTAGAGCGTAGGAGAAAGCTCCGAAGTAGTTTATCTCCATCAGTCGTACATATGTCCATGTTTGTACTTTGTATAACATTTCCTTCCTTGCTCCAGCGACGCAAGATGAAGTGTTCAGGGATCTGCTCAACATTTTCAATCAAAAATGTAGCAAGAATATGCCGACATAGAATTCCCATGAATTCAAAATAATGACAAGAACACCTGGCTTCTATACTTTCCAATTTCATCTCAACTATTGCAGAATCTTCTTTGTCTTTCCTATTAAAAACTGTATATGTAACCCATTCACCACCATTGTCAAATTTCTCCTTAGAGAACTGTAAACTAAGAGAAAGCTCACTACTAAATTTCAAAAATATTGCACGGGTATACACTTTAGTTGCATGCTCCTCCAATGGCATATGAAATGCCAAAAGCCTTTCTTTGTGCTTAGATTCAAAGTCTTCTTTTTTGAATGATTCGTAGAGAACATCTACTGCTTGGTTGTATTTCTCCACAAATTCCTTTAATGTTGTGCTAGATATAACAAAACTATCAAAGAATGAATTTATACTTTCGTTGCGCTGAGTAGTATTCATACCAGCAAAGAAAGTCGAACTATTAAATATTGGTACCCAAGATGATCTAATAGAATAAAGTCCACGCAACCACTCATTTTCATCAAGACCATATTCAACAAGAAGATGTTTCCACCTGTCTTCAAACTCTTGAGTGCTCTTGGACCTCCAAATACACTCATTGAAATGCTTCTTAAATGACGCGTTCTCATGGTAGACATGAGACAACTTCTCTGGAAATTTTTTCATGATATGCCATATACAATATCGATGTTTGGCATTTGGAAAAATTTTGGAGACTGCATTGCTAATTGACAAGTCCTGTAAATTAAACGGCATAAGTAAATAATAAACAATTATATTTGAGATACTATATGAAATATTAAAAAAAGTACATTCAATTGATCTTACCTGGTCAGTAATTATGGCGATCAGATGTTTCCCATTCATTGCTCGAAGCCATTCTTCAAATAGCCATATAAAAGTATCCTCAGTTTCATCTTGCAATAAAGCACATCCGAACAAAATGGATTGTAAATGATTATTTACACCGACAAAGGGTCCAAATGGCATCGAATACTTATTAGTCCTATATGTCGTGTCAAATGTGATGACATCCCCAAAAAGCTCATAGGCGTGCCTGGATCTTGCATCAATCCAAAAAAAGCTAACCATCCGATCATCCTCATCACACATAATAGAATAAAAAAATTCAGGATTCAATGACTGTTGTTTAATACAATAAAGTAGCACAGCCTGTGCATCCCCGACGTCGAATATCCTTCTCCTCACATTTTTCATATGATTATAACAATCTTGACTATCAATCCCTAAATCATGGGATTTGAAGATGGTGGCCACCTTTCCAGTGGGCAAACCCGCGTCATTGAATTTTTCTATCAAACATTTTGTTGCCTCAGGCATTTTTCTATATGATCTCAAATATGAAACACTTTTTAGAGTAACCATCTCATGGTTATGTTTGTCAGTGAAATATGTAATTCTCCACGCGTTTGTTTTTTTATCTCTAGAAGCCTTGAGACAAGCTTCACACCCTATACGTGATGATGATGTCCGCCTTGGTTTGGTTTCAGACATTCCACCCACATCTTTTCCCTTTTTCGATTGATGATAACCCCCTCTAACACATGTTAGCATCACATAGTTCTCCTTGGATGTTCTAGTCCGGATTCCAAAACCTCTTGCCCTACCAAATGTTGAATACAAGTCTACTACATCCTTTCGTTCCGAAAATTTCATTCCAACCTCAATCATAACATTAGTACTCTTTGTCAGTGATAATGGAATGACATTCGACTCATTATCAAGCAAGTCATTAGCTATATCATCTTCCATTTCATCAATATTGTCATCTCTCATTTCATCATATTCCACTTTATTACATAATTCATTTGGCATGCAATCTTCACGGAAGTCAATATAATTTATTAAATCCTCATCCGCTGAAGTGGCTTGATTAGTGGCCATATCATCTACATTTTATATTTTTAATAACATAAGACAAAAACTAATATAACATGAATAACAAATATAAAGTCAAAAAAGAATCAATGTACAAAAAATCTCAAGCAGTGAGTTATTTCTTCCCATCATATTTTCATTTTATAGATCAATCACTTCACCACCAACACCCCAATCATAATAAACAAACCTGTTTGAAAAAAATAGCATATGAATAATTTTCTTGACACCAGTTAAATTACCTCAAGCTATGTTTGTTGGTAGTTAGCACAAGTCAATTCCAAAAAAGATGTTACGAATACCTTGAAAAGTAGCAATGAAAAGAAGCTTACACCTTGGTAAATTCAAAATCTAGATCATTGATGTCTTGCAGTAGATTTAAAGCAATGAAAAGAAGCTTATGTACGACTTTCATACAATACTAAAACCATCAAGATTTATCATACATAATTCTCAACAAAACTAAATAATAATGGAGAATTACTGAATGTACCCTGTTTTGAACCATCATGACAAACGCGTGTACTGAATGTACAAGATAAAAAAAATTATAAATGTACAAGATAAATTAAAGTATTTATATAGATCGTATGCTAAATGTAATTTGGGTTCAAGATTTATCATATGTAATTTTCAGCAGATTTATCATGATGGTTCAAGATTTTAAAAAACTAAATAAATGAAAAGAAAAACAGATATCATGATTTAAGAGCGGTTACCTGTAACAGATGGGTCCTCCAAAATGACGCCAATAACAAAGAGAGGAAGAGGGAAGAAGAAGCTTTGGAGATTGATAAGAGGAAGAGGGAGAAGGAGAGGAAGAGACTCGCAGACGTGCATAGACGTGAGAGAGAGAACATGATTGGAGTATTATATTGGAGTATTTTGAACCGTTGATAAAAAAATTAATCTAACTGTAGTTAAAAGGTTGTAAGAGTTTCTAAGTTTTTTTCGGTTGTATATATATCCCCTCCCATATTTAATTTATGGAAAAAAGATGTGTCATTTTAAATGACACATCTTATATCCTTTCATTCTTATAAAGAGGTGAGATCCACATCTTTAAAACTTTTTCTTCACACTCTCTCTCATGATTTATCTTTTTTCTCTGACTTAAAATGACACAACTTTATATCCTTTAAAATGCTACACACTTTTTCCTTAATTTATTATGCAAGATGGTTATGCCAATTATATTAAAGGGTATATGATTAGAGGTGGCAAAACGGGCTGCCCGCCCCAGCCCACCAAAAAGCGGGCTGGCCCACCCCGCCCCGTCTTTGAAGGTGGGCTAGATATCTCAGCCCGTCCCGTTTGGGCGAGCATGGCGGGCTGCCCGCCAAAACCGTGACATTTTACACTAAAAATTTAAAAAAAAGAGCCAAAACCGTAACATTTTACACTAAAAATTAAAAAAAAAAAAAATCAGGGGCTTAACGAGCAGCGGATTTGAAAAACTCAGCTCGTCCCGTCCCATTTGACGGGCGGGCTTGGCCATTTTGCCAACTCTATATATGATAGGTATCAGTGTATAGCAGGGAAAAATTAAGAAAAAAGGTGTATTGATAAATCTGAACTGTAGCACTGATTCAGATATGCATTACAATATGCTGACTCACTCTTTAATTCCTACATATGTTGTGCAGGTGGGTCTTCTAATCCCTTGCACTTCTTCCTCTCATATATTCTTCCATATTTATTTATTTTCTGTCCAGCCGTATCAATATTACCTTGGAACCTTTGGTTTTAATGTACAAACTTATAACCAGAAGCACTAGAAAAACATTATTGCTGGAGAAGACAATTGAGATCGAATAGAGTGATTTCAAATTTGCTATGAAGTTGTGTACTTCCAGCTAGCTACCTCAAATGCTCGAGTTTAGAGAACCCTAAGCCATTGGCCATTACACTTTCTCTGCTGATCCCTCACAATCTCTATGCCACGCACAAGCATGCAAAACACAGCCACTGGCAAGAGTTAAACATCAAAGCAGAGCCATCAGACAGAAAACCAATGAAAAAACCCCGTCATCTATATGGGAATTGCTATACCTTCAAGCTTTTTTCCCTCTATGAAGCAGATTAAGTCCAAGTCCAAGTTAAAGTTAGTATTATTGAGTAGGGAATTAGTTCAGTAAAAATAGAGATGGGTCAGGTTGTGTTGGATTGGTGAATTGGAGAGATGACGGATGTGAAGAGAAAATGGAAGAACAACAATGACAGAAAAAAGAGCAAAGAGGGTTGAGTAAATAATTAGAGTAGAATGTGTGTGTAAATATGGTTTACTTTAGTATTAATATTTTTACGTGTACATAAACATAATTACGATGGTCTATAAAATATATATAATTTCAATATTACTAAAGTTAATTATTGATGGTCTCAGGTTCGAGTTCGGAGAACCACCTCTTTACAAGAATATAGGTTGCATTTTTTGGCAGTTTTCTGTGTAATCATCCTTGTAGTAACACAATTTATATTTAAAATGAGACCTAACGCAACATAAATTTTAAATGGAAATAACTTTTACTTTCATGTATAATGGATTACATGGTCGAAATACTACTTAAATTGTCTTGCTTGCTTCAATGTAGTCCCTACTCCAATGAGTGAACTTCCTTGAGGCTTCTGATATCAGTGTTCTCATATATCTTGATATACCATGGTCTGCAGACAAATTGGAGAGGTACTCTAACCTGGTTATCATGACACTACACAATTCAGGATGAAACAAAACAGAAGCATCCTTGGAAATGATGTCTTTTATGATTTTCTAAGCTTCCCTGGCATCTTCACTTGAACCAAAATGGGTCACTACATCATCATCTTGAGTTAGTTCAGATTGATTTCCAAGAGATGCGTCAAAAGTTGTTGGCAACATAGTGGAACTGGTTCTCAGGTGTAGTTCTGGTCTGACTTGGCCACTTGATGAAGTGGGACTTTGGGCCTGAATATTTTGCATCTAAGCAAAATCTGGGGCTGGAGATGATTGTCCTGGATCTTTTGCTTGATGATCAAGGAATGCTCCATCTGGTCAAAGAATGGTCAGACAGTGATTAATGACACGGCAATGTGCGAGTGACCTTAACTTTACTAGTGAGATGTGCATATGATATATTACTGATAGAAGCAAAACAACCATATGGTACAAGTAGACATTTTACCTAGGACAGTAGTCCACTCCGGTTGTATGCATGAAAAGCCGAGGCCGTCATTAGGTGAAGCATAATTGCTATACACTTCATCCAAAGGTTGCTCCCAATGTGAATGCATGGAGGATCGAATCCACATTTGTATAGCGGGGTTGAGTAAACCTAATGGACTTTTGGATTTGGGAGGATAAGGATTTGTGAATCGAAAATCCTCCATCCTAGTCATTTCCCTATTTACATGAACGCCGGTCCATTTGATTGATCCCCAAATATCTGAATCTGGTGGGGTCATAAATAAAACCTCCACATAATTCCACTCATTCTCTGAAAGTAGTCCTCCAAGACCCCCATAATTTGGAACAGTAAAGTTTTTGAACATAAATATATGATCAGTTACTAAATCATGCTTCAAATTTAAACTGATATCAAGAGGTATCTCAATATTATTGATTTTACCACATAAACCAAAGTTCACACGGATAGGACCCTCTCCATTGTCGGGAACTCCTAAAACAGCTGAAACAGTGATACAGGGGAAATCCTTACGAAACCAGAAACATAGCGAGTTCCCCCTGCTAGAGTGGTCAAACCATTCTGGGATCCTTTGTCTTGGCAGAACATAGAATTTTCTTGTAGCAGAACGAATTGCCTGTCAAACATGTCATTAAAAGTGTGGTGAGTTTGGAAAACAATTTAGCTAATAACTGATACAACCACAAAATAGAGACCAACCTGGCTCTGTATCATGTTTAAAGTTGAACAATCCACTTTCAGTGACGTGCAATTATATGCCAAGAAATCATCTATGCTTATTGGAAGCCCTCTAATTTCTCGAAGCTGCTTGCAATAGCACAAGTCTAGTAATTTCAAGAAGTGACATTCTTCAATGCACTCAGGTAGGATTGTCAAATTTGAGCCTCGTAATCTCAATGTTTTCAAAAAGAGAAAGAAGTTTGACAACCTTTGAACGATATTGAATTTGGGAGGATAAGGATTTGTGAATCGAAAATCCTCCGCCTTAGTCCTTTCCCTGTTTACATGAACTCCAGTCCATTTGATTGATCCCGAGCTACCTGAATCTGGTGGGATCACAAATAAAACCTCCCCATAATTCCACTCATTCTTTAAAAGTAGTCCTCCATCACCCAAATATTTTGGATAAGCTAAGTTTTTTAACATAAATATATGATCAGCCTCTAAAGTAAAGTTAAAAACAAAACCAAAAGGTATCTGAATATGATTGATTTTGACATGGAAATGAAAGTTAACAGAGAAAGGTTCCTCGCTCTTATCCCAACATCCTAAAACAGCAGACACGGTGATAGAGGGGAATTCCTTACGAAACCAGAAACATAAAGAGTTTCCCCTGCTAGTGTGGTCAACCCATTCTGGGATCCGTTGTCCTGGCAGAATACAATTACCTGAGCTAGAACTAGTTACCTGTCAAACATGTCATTAAAAGGCAGGTGAGTTTGGACAACAACTTACTAATAACTCAGACAATCACAAAAGAGAGACCAACCCAGTTCTGTACCATGTTTGAAGTTGAACAATCAGCTTTAAGTGAAGTTAGGGAACTCTCAGTTAACTTGCATATGGCAAGTTTCTTTGGATGAAAATTAGATGGTAAAGACTGAAGGAAACCGCTGCCAGTCCAGCACTCTTAAACTCTTTGGAAATTGTGTAGGACCTTTCAAAAAATGACCATTTCTAATAATAAGTGTTTTTAAGTTTGTCATGTTCTCGAAGGCCTTTCCATCCCAGTTCACTGCTGCTTCAAATTTGGGGAAATGCAGATGTATGATTTCAATATTGCTAGTTCCCTTTTGAACACAAAAAACACCTGTCAGCCACAAAAGACACACACACTCACTCACAAACATTATATATATATATATATATATATATATATAAGATTGGAAACAAAGGAATAAATGACTTGTCATTGAGTATATAATAGTCCAAGAAATAAATCAAGGTTCGAGATGAAAAACCAAACCAACCATATTAGTCTTACTCACCGTATTGTCTTCTAAAACATGAACTATATCTTCATGGAACCATAACCTACTTCGTTTCCCAGGCTCTTCTGGTGATTCCTGTCGGACAATTTCTTTACCCATATCCTCAATCAAGTTAAATACTGTCATTTCACCATCTGAACTAATCTTTATGAGAGATTTTTCAATCAACTCTCCAATGTAAAATTCCATGGGGCAACCATAATGAGCATGAAGTATATTTTCAACCTCTCTTAATTGATATCCGTTGTAGCAACAAGCAATATCAAGAAAAATTTTCTGTTGATATTCCTCCAAAGAATCGAAACTTACTTTAAGTACCTTTTGGATCTGTTTATTAGGAATTCTCTCATAGTGATCTAATATAGATTCCCATTCTTCTATACTTTTCCCAAACAAGCCGGAACCTATTACCTCCAATGCTAGTGGAAGACCAGAAGCATAAGTTATAGCTCGGTTTAAAATGTCCACATAACTTGGATCAACTTTGGAAGATTTAAAAGCATTCCAACCAAGTAATTCAAAAGCTTCTTTATTATTCAAACCATCTACCTCATAAGTTTTCTCAACCTCATGACTTGTTAGCAAATACTTGTTCCTAGTTGTAATGATGATTCTGCTACCAGAACCAAACCAATCATGCCCTCCAACAATTGCCTGCAACTGCTCTCGTTTGTCAACATCATCAATAACCAAAAGAATCTTCTTTCGCTGGAGCCTATCCTGTATTATTGAAATTCCCATATTAACATCTGCTAACTTAATATCTTTCTCCCCGACTATTTTAGAAAGAAGTGTCTCTTGGATATGTTCTAATCCATGCTTAATTGAATTTTCTCTCACATTATCAAGAAAACACACAGCTTCAAATGAATCAGCAATGACATTAAAAATTGCTCGAGAAACTGTTGTCTTTCCTATTCCCCCAATTCCATGGATCCCTATCATGTGGACTCCATCAGATCCGACATTGAGAAGTGAGATTACTTCTAGCACTTTAGACTCCAATCCAACAGGATAATTCGCAACATGTAAAGGAGTGCGATTAATCCAGTTGGAGACATATTTAACAATCTTCTCAACAAACTCATATTCGTGCTCATTCCTGCCCAATTATTGAGTGAAGTCATACTAAATGATTCATACTAACATTAAACCAAATCATAAGACAAATTTAAAAATAAATAAATAATAATAACATAGGAAGGTAAAGCAGTACCCAAGTTTGAAATGAAAGCCAGGCAAGTCAGCTGCTTGACGCATAGCCATCCTCCATTTTTGCACCTTCTCCTTGTCATCCTTAAATCTCTCTTCAAGAGTAGCGAGCGCTTTTTCATAGCTACCTGTCTGATGTCGCACGTGAGAAGGATCCACGTCATAAAAAACCGGCAAAACCAACCGACCCTTTTCCTTGATGTAGTGAAGAATAAGAACAAGTTCGTCTAAGCAAAATGAAGAAGAAGCGTAGTTCTTAGAAAACACAGTGATCGCAATCCTGGAATTTTCAATTACCCTGACAAGTGAAGGTGTGATTTGTTCCCCTCTTTGAAGCTCTTCTTCATCAATGAAGGTGTGAACTCCCCTCTCACGAAGAGCTTTGTAGAGATGGCCAATGAAACCGTGACGAATATCTTGGCCTCTGAAGCTCAGAAACACATCGTATGTCCATCCATAGCTAAAGGAAGAGGACGACAATGATTCTTGTCTTGCCATGATTGCTCACAATTCTCAAACTACAGAAAGTTTGGAAACACAGTTAGGTAAAGTAAATTGAGTAGAGAAACAAAAGTTGGTCTTTTGTAAACAAAACAGCACGCGAATTGACTACTTTGCCTTCTGCGAAGTTTCTTTCTTTCTTTTTTTTCTTTTTAAATGTTAAGAATATAAAATGGGATATATTTTTCTTATGTTATAGGAAAAGAATTACCTCATGTTGTAGAAATAAAGGTATAAGTGGGACCCACATGTAAGAGGAGAGAGAAAAAAAAAGTGGTGGGACCCAACTCCTTTTTGTGTGTGTAGGAGAGATGTTTATCTCATGTAAAATGAGATAAACATAACCCATATAAAATATTACAAACTTGTACTACTACTTTTTTATTTTATCTGTTTTTTTTTTTTTTTTTGGTAATTTGCACTAATATCTTAAGTCACCTTGCAAGACACACCTTGGGCTTTATGCGGACACAATGTCTGTGGGCCTGCTGCCTCTTTTTTTTAAAAAAAGAAAAGAAAAGAAAGACAGGATCACGAGGGTGTTAATAGGTTTGATTTTAAAGGTTAAGCCTATATGTTAAATTGTTTTAGCCTCTGTACTAAAAAGAAAAAAAAATTGTTCTAGCCTGTAATCTATTATAAATATAATTATTGAATTATGACCTGACTTATATAAAAATAAAAGTCTAGATTAGCCTATTAAAAAATATAAGATAACAAAAATGTTTCCAAACAGAATATACGATCAACAACACTAATAATTACATAAGATTCATAAATTTAATGTATATTCAAACAACATAATATAGAACAAAATCAGCTTAACCAATAAACTAAAGTAGTATAAAATTCTGCATATTCAAAAGGACAAAAGATTACCAATTCTACATAAATAATTTAATATACTCATTTCAACAATTTAATATACTGCGATGTTGCCTTCTCCTACATAAAAAAAATTAGATTAATTTTTACATTAAATTATAATACCATAAGATATAAATCAATTTAAATTAAGTAAAGTAATACCTTATATTTTTCCTTTATGCCATATTTATTATGTAATCAATTTGCACCGCAACTTAATGCTTGAATCGTATTTTTAGTCAAAATTGCCCAATAAGAATAAATTACTATTCCACCAACACTAAATGTCGATTCAAATGCGAATGTAGAGACTACTACTGCTAATATATCTTTTGCCATCTTTGATAAAATCTTATACTTCATGCTATTGCTCTTTCACTATTTCAAAGCATCAAATGAAAGATGAGAATTATCCTCACTTATATAAATATTCTCTTCAATGTCGAGCTTTTGAATAAAAGATATAAAATAAAAAAAGTTAGTAGATCAGTCTGACGAGCTTTAAGATCGGACTTTTGAATTGGAGTCTGAAACTTTTTTATTAAATAAACTTTCATATAAGTCTAAGTCTGGATCCAATAATAGCCAAAACACATAAATCAGGTCAGGCCTACACGAGTCGGGCCAATGGCATCTCGATATTTTAACACCTGTAGTGGCGCGCTTCTTCATGGTTAGTAAGAGAAAGTTTTCATCTGCCTACAATATAACAGTTGTTTTTCTCATTTTTTAATGGGTCATTCTACCGTGAACCCGTTATTAAAGGGTCCATGGAGAACTCTTTAAACATGTTATAATGAGTGAATGTCATCCTCTGATATATTTATATTTCCAATATAGTCCTTTGTTAAAATTTGCTTGAGATGGATTATATAAGACGAGTGGAGGAGAAGGTGTTGAGCTTTTCCAAAATGACATAATTTTATTTCACTTTTTGAACATAGAGCTAAATATGGAACATCAATCAAAGTGCCATTATTTGGCAAATTTTTAACTTAAATGCCACGCGAATAATACATTTTATCATACTATCACGCGTTAAAGTTCGCTATCACTGGTAGCGAACTTCGTCGCCAATGATTTTGTGACACGTGGCATTATTCGTGTGCCACATAACGTACCAAGTTCCCTACCACAGGTAGCGAACTTGGTCCAGTCAGCTTTTCCAGCGAAAGTGTGTCACATGTCACAAAATTGTTGGCCACAAAGTTCGTTACCAGTGGTAGTTAACTTTGACGCATGACAGTCTGGTAAAAAAATATTGTTCGCATAACATTTGGGTAAAAAATTTTGCCAAACAGTGACACTTTGGTCGTTGTTCCGCTAAATATCGATTGACTGATATTCAACTTGTTTAAGCTAGGGCCGTTTGGATAAACTTTAAAAGAAAAAAAATTATACCTCATTTGTTTTAGAAGAATTCTTTAAAAATTGAAATTATTTTGCAATTGAATACATGAAAAATAATTTTAAATTAAAAACTATATAAATATTAAAATATAAAAACACTTTTTAAGATTAAAATTATTAAAAAGGTTATGTGAAAACAAATTATAAAACAAGATTTGGTGGTAGTGGGAAAGGGTGTAGTGGTTGAGGTGGTGGCGATGGTGGAGGGAGTGGGAAAAGAAAAGACTTGTTGGGATAGAGGTTGGGTAAAATTTAAATTTAAAAAAAAAAATGCCTTTACTTCTGATTTTTTTCGAAGATAGAAATTTTAGTTTCAAATAAAATAGGATTTTGACCTTTTTTATGACTTCTATCTACTTTTTTTAAGTTGAAATCTAAACACTCATTTATAGAAAGAAGGACATTTTTAAGAAAAAAATAACTTTTGGAGGAAAAA